TAACTTCGATCAATTCACGAAATTGCGCCACTGTCCACCATTGTCTTCAATGAGTTACTATCTCACAACAGACCCGGTTGAACTCCACTAGTTTTAATAAGCTTGTAGTGCATTAATGTCAAACAAAAGACTGAAAACAAATGAAGTTGAAATTTCTCAGGAAACCAAGTTTTGAGAGACAACAAAACATCCAATTAATAAATACCTTTGTATAGCTTTATATTAACGTATAAGTAACTAAGTAACTTAACTAGAAGTCTAAGCATTATAAATTTACATGGAAATGATCCTTATGTATTACATCAACTCAAACATAAACTGAAGTTCATTTGTATTGATTGTTTGAATATTCCTGTTGACATTTAGGATTTAGATTAATCCTTTGCGAATTGCTTCGATATTATTAGCTGACAAGTATCAAATGGGATGAAATGTACATTCTAAATTTCACTGCTATCCACCATTCAACTCTGCTTATAAACTGAAGTATTTTTCTTACCAATAAACCTTTTAACTTTGCCATTACAGACAAGGATCAGCATATCATATTCAGACTGAAAGTATTAATGGTTTTTTTTAAACCTTAAAAATCTGATTTTGTTTTCTTCTCATATTATAATACACTAAGACAGACATTTAACTGGTTCTTATGAAATGGATATACGGTTGCTTTTATCTATGGTATATATATATATATAGAAATCAGTCCTAGTGTAAACAGTCATATAACTTCTGGTGATTACTTTAACATTCTAGATATATTTCCTAATGATAAAGCAGAATATTCCTAATCGATTTACATAAATAGATAAGTTTGAAATAAATAAATCCTTAAATTTGATTGGTTGGCTATTTTTTTATTACTGTGTTCTGATTGGTTTATCATGACAAGTCAGCTGTTTTTACTTAGATAATAAAATCAGCTGAGAAAAAAAAGTTAGTCTATAGAGATTTGGAAAAGCTAAAATAAAATTTTTTCTTAAAATTATTTTTCTGATCAATTCATAATTTTATTTGTTACTTCGTATTTATGATAAACCAGTTTTAATTTAATCATTGTGAAATGCTATTCGTCTGTTGATATCATCACAAATTTACGTTTAAAGTGGTGACAAATTTTAGGTACGCAAAAGTATATTATAGAAATTTCAAGAAAAGTGAGTATTGAGTAAATTGTCGTTTAGAAGTTAAGTGTTAGTGCACGAAACATAAAGTCCTGGGTTCGAATCCTGCATGTGGGATCATGGACGCGCACTTGTGAGGAGTTCAATACTTGGACTAAACGGATGTCCAGTGCTTTCAGGTTTTCAGTAGTGGTCTAACATTGATCGGTTGATGATTTCAATCAGAAAAACTCAACAATCTCCATATCCCCATACTACGTTCAAATTGATTGATTAATCATGATCATATGGAATTTACAATGTTATTTTATTATAACTACGGTGTCAAAATAATAATAACAACTATTTATTCACACTGTTATTCAAATATACATTTTCCTCTTATATTGTACATTATTATTTGGTTGCTATAAGTACAGTAAAGTTGACGTTTCCCAGAGCTTTTCGATTTAAAGGTTATATTTTCATAAGATTAATTAACCAACTGTGTTTTCATTATCAAAATGTACCATAATGGTTCATATACAGTTAATTTCCATGATTAATTTGAACTAAAGCAGAATAATACCCCTTTGGCGTCTTGTTCTTTTATTGCTTTTATAAATAACCATCCAAATGTAGTAGCAAGTACGTAGAAAAGATTGAGAGAAGGGTTTATACGTGACTTGCAAAAGAGGTACTTAGAAACATGTGTCTGAAAGCTGATAAAGTTTTCATAGTACTAATGGACAGACATTTAATAAAAAATGAGACAATGTAAATTTTCATAACAAAAACAAATGGCCCATTTTACTTCGCTTTGTAGAGAATGTTGTGTCTAAATATTTCCGACCTCAACTAATTTTAGAACGTTAATGTAATAAATTTTTCTTTGACATGGAAAATATGACTGTAATTAAATAAATTGGTCTGTTACTATATCATATTAATGGTGTCCATTTTGTTGAATACAGTAAAAGTCGAACCTTGGTTTCTTATCAGTATTGACTTTCATAACTTCATGTTATTTACAGTTGAACAGAAGTAATTTGCTTACTGAAAATTCTTCTGTACTCTCTTTACTGAAGTGGATTAGTTCCGAAATCATGTAAGCTATTGATGCAATAGTGGCTTAGTAGTTTTAGCTTTTATCATTCAATTAACACATCATGAGACTTAACTATATTCTACATACTTCGATCGTGTTAGTCACTTGATAATTCTGAGCCTCACACGTACACACACACACACACCCACAGACGCAAAAAACTGATTTCACGAATCAGTCATATTGATAACTAATAAACTATTAATAATGACTTGAAATCTATATTCAATCTCATGTTGTATATTCTAACATTTTATAAAGTTATCATTTTCAATAAAATAAAGTGAGTTTTCTTTAGTACATTTCTTTCATATTACTTATTACAGTCTACTGATAATAACTCTGTAGCAAGAGAGATAGAGAGAGAGAGAGAGAGCGAGTGAGTGAGTGAGTGAGTGAGTGAGTGAGAGAGTGATCCATTTGACAAAAACTACAGACTGTTGATAAGCACACTTGTATATCTACAGTAAAATGTAAATTAATACTGATAAATTAATTATTTTGTAATCAGTTGGATTACACCATCTTGCATTCAGTAAAACATTCGCACTTTTTTTCATTATTAATTAATTTGTTCCGTTCATAAAATATTTTCATGATTATTTGATGAAATAAAGGTAAATGATTATCAGGTGATTGTATCATACTACATCATTACAAGTACATTTTGTTTTAAAATATGAAAGAAGAATATTAAGCATGATTTTGAGATGGTGGAGAAGATTTGTAACTCAAGTGAATGATTTTGACGGGGTTTTATTCTTTGAACTGAATGGTTTGCTTGTGGAGTTTTCATCATTCTTCTGAACGACATCATTTGAACAAACTTCAGGTACAAGTGAAGTGTTCGAATTTCTCCAACTTGTTGTTCACAGCATGTCCTGTACACCTTGTGGATGATTGGTTCTTGTTGACCTTAAACGTATCATTGTTTACTTCTTTGTTTTGGTTGTATCTCCCATTGGTTTGATTTTTGTTCCTATGTTTGTGCATAATTTTCCTCATTGGTTGATAAGTTGGATCGATTTCAATGTGCATGTTGATTACTGATTGACCTGAGTGTCAAGTTTCTAAAAATTCTCTGGTGTTTTTAGAATTGCTTCTATACAAAATTTCCACATTTTTCCAATCGAATGTGTGTCCGCAGTTGTTCACGTGCGTTGATATAAGTGAGGACATATCATGGCATTTGATTGCTAATTGATGTTCATGCAGGCGAAGATGAAAAGGACGTCAGCTTTATCTGATGTAATGTTTTTCGCAGCTGGCAAAATTAATTTTGTAGATGATGGTTGGTTTATCTTCTTTTGTCATTTCATCCCTTGATTTGCATAGGATTGATTGTAGTGATTTTTTTATTTGTGTACGGTACCTATTCCGAAGGTTTTCAGCAGTCTCGTTGTACTTTCTGATATGCCTTTTACGTATGGTAGGGTGATATTTACAATAACTTAATAAATAAACGATGTGTTAAACGTCTGTTCTAAGTAAAATTCCGTATTAGTGCAACTATTTTAATCGCATTATCTCCTCAGACTTAATGTACAGTGAAGACAGTCGTGTATGTGACCACTAAGTCATAACTTTTGTTTCTTGGAAATCTAACTAACCTAAAAAGTTCTCATTTACTACTTAATACACTGGGAAATTTCGATAGACTAAAGGGAACTGAGGGAAGTTAGATGTCAGTCAGATACTCATCAACCCTTCCAACTGTAACATTTGCATAGTGGTTGAACCAAAAAAGTTGAGATCGTGGACTGGGTACAGTAATTTTAGCTCACAGAGTTAGTATTCAGTGATGCATGATTCCAATCATCTACTAGGTGGAGGTCCAATGTCTGATTTTCAGTGGGCAGATAAACAATCAAGATAAAACTGATATTTAGTGGTCCTCTGTTCTTAAAGATTTTCTGGTTCGATTGTGTCTATCTGAAGTTTGTGCTGATGATGTCGTTCAGAAGAACGATGAAAGCTCCACGACCAAACCATCCAGCTCAGAGAACAAAACTCCATCAAAAAAAACAACCTGTAGATCAAATAATCACAACGAACTGTATTTCGTAAACGCTTGTCTGCCAAAAGTCTCGAGAAATATTTCCTAGCTACGTTGTACTACTAATAAGTAGTTGAATTTAGAAAATCGAAGTGAAAGCACTTGATAAGAGAGTTGCAAAATATGTTGGACTTGAAGTGTACAAAATATTGTTTGAACTAGGTAACATTCGTGTTATATTTCGAGGAGAATAAACAACATTAACTGTTATGATCTATTTATAGACTAATACTTTACATATATTCTTATTGTACAACTATTCAGTAACTAGATTTGGTATATATATATTCCTTTTATTAAAGGCTTTATTTTGACCTAAAGACTATTATTATACGATTTACTAGTCTTAAATTATACTCAGTTTGTTAATTACCGTCCTCCACAACCACACCTCCTTTTGGCTTCATCGTGTATTGATGTCATTTCCTATTTTATGGTGTGGTGCGGTCCGTTTGGCGTGTATATAAACCAGGTATGATTGAAATAAATGATTCACACAGTGGAAGCTAATATTGGTATTCTGAACTCAACTGGCAGGGTTAGGTAGGGAAAGGACCAATAAGGACGCTAGACTGCTCACACCGGTCGACACATCATTGGTTTTTGCACAGTGCTAAGATTTTATAAGTCATACTCTGGTTGACGAATAAATCACGTGATATTTAACCGGGCCAAGTCACAAAAATTTGGTAATGGCATTAAACAACACTCGTAAATATATGATAAGAATATGTCTTGGTGAAATGCTGACATGTATTTACATTTAACAAACACTAAATCTATTCACAACAATAAATAATGAATTGAATAAACATGAAATCAGAATAATTAATTTGTACTGTACAAATAATTTGTTTGCTCTATTGCAAAAGTCATAATAACAACAGTTATACTTGTTAACAAGTCCTGGAGTAAGCTCATTGATAGCATCTTTAGGTGGACATTTAAGTAAACAACCTCGACCTTCCATTTGATAACCTTGGAAAGTTGAGTAGGCTGTCTGTAAATAAGAAATTGAAGAAAAACAAAACATTGCTTGAAATCGTAAATCATAAAGTAATCAGTAATTATTTCTGAATCGTACAAATATGTCCCATTTAGTTAATTTGAAGAGAGCAAGAAGAGAACATGAGTGATATAATATGAATCCATTTTATTTCGTTAGGTTCTCTTCAACTGCTAACTAACTGTAATATTTCGAAATTGATATTACAAAGTGAGTGGTTATGATTACTTGTATGATTGTATTTAGTGGGGAACTATTGCAAACAAATCCAGCTGACGAGTCCCAAATAGGACGAAACGCGCGTCCTGGATTCCACTGCTAGCCACTATCCCTCATTGCTAACATAAAAAGCTTGTGAATTAAGGCGATATCGAGGCATACTCACAGTATGCACATACGCCAATAACAAACTGATCAATTGCAGTCTTAAAACCTCAGTGGGAAGATAGAAGCCAAACAATACCAAGTGAATTTAAATTCACACCAAAGCACAAGCAAGTGGCTATCAGGACTCAGTAGCTGAGTGGATAAGGCAATGACGTTTGAAGCGAATGGTGCTGGGTTCGAGTCCCAGGGTGAACATCAACTCGGATACAGGTACATCGAGCTGACGAGTCCCAAATAGGATGAAGCGTGTATTGTGGATTCCACTGTTAGCCACTATCCATCTTTGCTTAAAAATCAAAATAGTACAGAAAGAATGTTAATGAGTCTAAAAGGCTAAATAAAATAATTTAAGTATATTTCTTTCGTAGAATAACATACTGGTACACTGATATCAACTCCGCATGGAGCCCCTTTGGAGCTACTGCCGGCCTCATACCCGGATAAAGGGGGAGAGTTGAGCATTGAGTTAGCGACTTCATTGCTTAGAAAACTAACTCACCAAAAAGACGCTAACCAGAAAAAATTATTTCAACTTTAAACTCTGCCCTAAGAGTTAGAAGGTCTTCATTTAGAAGAGTTATGACGCCTTATGGTGAAAGCTGAGTTCCTTCGGAAGTCACGAGGCTGATGCCCCTTTTGACAATCAAAGCAATTATTAATTTAGGCATATGGAATGCTCGTACAATGTGAGAGACCTGGAGAGTCTTCCAAATTGCTGCAGAAATGACGAGGTACAATCTGGAGGTTTGTTGTAATCAATGAAACACATTGAACGCAGGTTGGACAACAACGACTAACTTCAGGGGAGCTTCTGTTATACTCCAGCCATGATGAAGAAAATGCCCCACATACACAAGCAGTTGCATTGCTGCTATCCAAACAAGCACAAAATGTACTTATGGGATGGGAGTCTCATGGACCACGGATCATCAAAGCCTTTTCGAAAACAAAGAAAGAGGGCATTACAATGAACGTCATCCAATGCTATGAACCTATTAACGACTGCAATGAAGACGCTAAAGATGAATTCTGCGATGGGCTACAGTCAATCGTCGAGAAGTGCCCAACACTGATATTGGTAAATATCAACGAAACAAACTCTAATCATGAGTAAGAATAAGATAAACAGAGAATACCTCATTTAGTAAAATGTAAATAGGCATTTCTTGAATATTAAACGTCACATTGATACTTTGTACTTTATTGGAGGTATCAACAAACAATCTAGTTCTAGTTATTTGAATGGTTCTGAAGTTGTTATTAATAGGCAACAGAATTTGAAGTTAAATGTTCCGAGAAAAAACTGTTGTGAATATTTCTCTGTAATTGTGAAGTAACTTTTATCTTGGTATATCGCAAAGCTTCTTTTAATGCTCTCATTTGATTACTTTGTTATTTTTAAAACTCATTTATTTCATTAATTTGATTATCAACTAACTGAGCTTTACTCATAATATTTTATTCTTACGTTAACATCTATCCATTACGTAGTGAACAATTTCTAGTCCTTTGGTCTTTACGGTTATCAGTGAACTAGAATGGCATTCTACGTTTGAAATATACCTGTAATATTGTTACTTAATTATAAGCAAAGATGGTTAGTGGCTAGTAGTGGAATCCAAGACGCACGTTTCGTCCTATTTAGGACTCGTCGATTGAGTGGATAACGCGATGGCGTTTAGAGAGAAAAATACTGGGTTCGAGATTCAGAGTAAACATCAACTCAGAGATGCAAGTACATCTGGCTGACTAGTCTCAAAGAGGACGAAACGAGCGTACTGGATTCTACTGGTAACCACTATCCATCTTTACTTATAAAGCTTGTGACTTAAGGTAATATTGAGGCAGTACGTACACGATGCACATATGCTAACAAGAAACTGATCAATTGCAGTCCTAAACCCCAATGCTTACTTACTTACACCTGTTACTCCTCGTGAAGGAGCATAGGCCGCTCACCAGCATTCTCCATCCAACCCTGTCCTGGGTCAATCCTTTCCAGCTCCTTCCAGTTGTTATTCATCCTTTCCATATCTGCTTCTATTTCCCGATATAATGTGTTCCTTGGCCTTCCTCTTTTCCGCCTTCCTTCAGGATTCCAAGTTAGGACTTGTCTCGTGATGCGGTTTGACGATTTGCGTAATGTATGTTCTATCCATTTCCATCGTCTTTTCCTAATTTCTTCTTCAGCTGGAAGTTGGTTTGTTCTCTCCCACAGAAGGCTATTGCTGATGGTATCCGGCCAATGGATGTTGAGTATCTTGCGTAGACAGTTATTTATAAATACTTGTACTTTCTTGATTGTGGTTGTTGTAGTTCTCCAAGTTTCAGCTCCATACAGTAGAACTGCTTTGACGTTCGTATTGAAGATTCTCACTTTGATATTGGTTGAACGTTGTTTTGAGTTCCATATATTCTTCAACTGAAGGAATGCGACCCTTGCTTGCCAATCCTTGTCTTTACATTTGCATCTGATCCGCCTTGTTCATCGATGATGCTTCCCAGATATGTGAAGGATTCTACATCTTCCAGAGTTTCGTCATCAAGAGTGATTGGATTGCTGTTGTCCGCTTTGAATTTGAGGACCTTAGTTTTCCCCTTGTGTATGCTGAGGCCTACTGATGCAGAGACTGCTGCTACACTGGCTGTCTTCATCTGCATCTGTTCGTGTATATGGGATAGGAGGGCTAGGTCATCTGCGAAGTCCAGATCGTCTAATTGATTCTGAGCTGTCCATTGTATTCCGTGTTTTCCTTCAGATGTTGAGGTCTTCATAATCCAGTCGACCACCAGAAGAAAGAGGAAGGGAGAGAGTAGACAGCCTTGTCTGACTCCGGTCCTTACTTGGAATGCATCTGTCAGCTGTCCTCCATGCACGAGTTTGCACTGTAGTCCGTCGTATGTGTTCCAGATAATGTTGACAATCTTCTCAAGTGGAACATACTTCTTAATATTTATTCTTATTGCAAGCAATAAATTAAAAGTAAAACGTTCTTTATTTTATTGTAATGTGGGGTTATTTCCACTTGACTTACAATACAAACTCCACAGTTATCTAAAATTTCGTCTTTTGTAATTTGGAATAATTTTTTGTATTTGTCTTCACATGGTAAACAAACACGACATTTGATAGCAGAAACTACAAAGAAAAGACACAGAAAAATATACATTTTTCTCAATAAGTGGATTAACAGCTCTCAGTTGATATATTAATTCCAATGTTATTATTGGAGGGGATCAGTAGAAATACGGTAAACCTACTCAGTAATTCATTCTGTTCTACATTGTGAATATAATATGTGCTCTTTAAATGTAAGGATTATCCATAAGTTTCTAGCATTCAGTCGTAGATACCTTCAGAGCATTGTTCACGTATCTAAAGAAGTCTAAATGAGCAGCCCTAAAGTTAAAAACGGAGTAATGAGTAAAGATAACAAACCGGTTGATAAAATTGTAAATTCTTATCGATTAAAGGGGTTGAAACGTGTATTACGTACGGCTGTCCAGTGCTTCCAGTTTTTCCATGGTAGTTGTTGGAGTGATTCAGAAAATTTATTGCAAAAGACAAGCAAGCATCAAGAAACACTAAGAAGCGTTTCATTCACTTGACGTTTTTGCCAAAAATATCAAAGAAGTGAAACGTCACATGTAGAGATTCTAATTGACTGATTGCTATACTGTTACTATGTTTAGTAGCATTCCAGAATCTTCGAGCAACCCAAGGACATTTAAAAATATTATAAAAACTCTATATTTTCTATGGTAAAATGAACCTTGGAGTAAAACTACTTCTCGCATACTTTGCGTCTTCTCTCTCGTTGTACAGGTCACTGTATAGTTCTAGCATTTTTGGGGGGAGGGGGTTACAGAATAACTTAGGAAACGAATATAGCGTTCAATTTGCAAGACTTATCAGTAGTCTAGATTCAAATGAATCATGATCTCAACTATTGAAATTACTATAATATCCACAAAACTCTTTCTGATATCTATCAGAATCAGTCATTAAGCAATAACTGTCAAATAAAAAAAAGTTTAAACATTTAAAGTCATTTATTATCTTAGTAGGTAATGTTATAAATAATTGACGTCTATAATCTTGACATTATGAAATATGTAGTATATGTAGTATATAGTACATAGTATATATATATAGTATAGTATAGTATAGTATATAGTATATATAGTATATATGTATCGTAATATACTTATTACATAACATTTGACATCCATTTTACAAAACAACCAAATGTATTTTATTTTCAAATTTAGAATGATTTTCATCTTAAAAATAAAAAAAGAAAAGAAAAGAAAAGAAGAAAACAATTAACCGTTTTTTCTCTTTTTCTTTTCTTTTTTGATTTCTTCATTGGTTACCTATGAAGATTCGGAAAATAGAATTGAATTGTTATGTATTACTACAACAATTTACTAATCTGTGAAGATTTATATTTTTAGCTTTAGTGGTGTTTGTTATAACTTGTGGACTGAGTGCTTTATTAATGTGCAACCTAACGATACCGCCAATTAGAGAACAGTGAATTATCGATCGGACCAAACCTGTACGAATAGTCTAGAGTACTTATCGGTCCTACTTCCCGCCTAGCCCAACCTGTTATGTTCAGAACACCAATCTCAGCCTCTGCGATATCAATCATTTATTTCAAACATACTGGGCTTATATACAAAACTAAACAGACCACATCGTACCATAAAACGGATAATAACATTTGTATAAGATTTAGCCAAATGTGGCTGTGAATGTGTGAGGTGGTAATTGATAGACAAGGCATAACTCAAAAATGGTAAATGGTATAATAATAGTTTATAGGTCAAAATAAAGCTTATGATAAGAAGAACACGAATATGAATAGTTTAGTTATTTAACAATTATACAATAAAAATATACGCATAGTGGATCCCATAGTTACCGTTCATTATTCTCATACAGATATAACAGTATTTAAGTGTGTATTTGATTTAAAAGTACATATGTATACTCTATAGTTATATTACTTGATATTGGATTAAATTACTATATATATATATATATATATATATATATATATATATATATATATATATATATATATATATACGAAATTGAAATTAGTAACGACATTCAGGAGTCTGAGTTCGACACATTTTAGTTTCATCAAACGGACTATATGAAGATCTTTTTGGGGGACTAACATTTTGCAAATTAGAAAAACATTCTTAATCATTTGCATATTTTAATATAAACTAAACTATATTTCATTGAAAATAAGTTTGTTTTTAGTAATGAAGTAATAAACTATAAGAGGAAAGATGAATAGTGAATGGCAGTGGAATTTAGGACTCACGTTTCGTCCTATTTAGGACTCATCAGCTGGATTGATCAATTGCAGTCCTAAACATCAATTGGAAGTTTCAAGTAAACATTATCAAGTGAATAAAATTATTATGTTTGATAAGTCTTGCGGATTGAACGCTATATTCGTTTCCTAAGCTATTCTGTAACCCCCTCCCCCAAAAAAGCTAGAACTATACAGCGACCTAAACAACGAGAGAGAAGACGCAAAGTATGCGAGAAGTAGTTTTACTCCAAGGTTCATTTTAACATAGAAAATATAGGGTTTTTATAATATTTTTAAATGTTCTTGGGTTGCTCGAAGATTCTGGAATGCTACTAAATATATTAGCAATATAGCAATCAGTCAATCAGAATCTTTACATGTGACGTTTCACTTCTTTGATATTTTTGGCAAAAACGTCAAGTGAACGCTGATTGAATGAAACGCTTCTTAGTGTTTCTTGATGCTTGCTTGTCTTTTGCAAGAAATTTTCTGAATCACTCCAACATGTCAAATAATTTATTTAAATCAGCTATTTCAATAACTCTTTCATAGATCAAATTCACTTGGTATTGTTTACTTGAATCTTCCCATTGATGTTTAAGACCACAATTGATCAGTCTTATTGGCATATGTGAATCCTGTGATGACTATCTCAATAGTGCCATAATTCACAGGCATTATAAGTAAAGATGGATAGTGGTTAGCTCGTCCCGTCCTATTTAGGACTCGTCAACTGGATGTACCTACATCTTAAATTTGATTTTTACTCTCGATCTCGAACCTATTATCGTTCACTTTAAATGTCATCGCGTTATCCACTTAGCTACTGAGTCCTGATAGCTACTCTCTTGTTTAATAGGTGACGGTGCTAGGTTCAAGTCGCAGAGTGTACATCAACTTTGAGATTCAGGTACATCCAGTTGACGAGTCCTAAATAGAACGAAACGTGAGTCCTAAATACCACTGCTATCCACTATTCATCTTTCTTCTTATAGTTCATTTCTTCATTACTAAAAACAAACTTATTTTCAATGAAATATAGTTTGGTTTATATTAAAAATATGCAGATGATTAAGAATGTTTTTCTAATATGCAAAATGGAAGAAAACTTTTTTCTAAAATTCACAATTACTGTGTACGTTTGATTGATTGAAATCAATAACTTGTACATATGTAAATTATCACTAATATACAATCAATAGATTTCTGATATCTTTGTCAGGTAGATATATATATCCAGATAAGAAAAAAATCAATAAAATTGTGACATTGTTTCACCAAATGATACTATGGATGAATTATGTGAACATTCATTGAGAAATGATTTTTAATACGGTAACAATCGATGCATTATTTGTAAATCAATATTTAATTTACAATCGGTTTTCATCATGAAGATGATATCAGTAAGTGAACAGTTGAAAGATAAGAAAACTGTAGTAAATTATTGCCTCCAAATCCCTTTTCACAGTCGAGGATGTGGAGAGTCTACTGGGAAGTCCTATTCACTGACTTCTTGTGGTCGAAGTGTTGTGTACAAAATTGCGAAGATGAAAAGCCAATTCCTGACGATTTAACTGAGTGTGTATTGTGTATATGTATTTAGTGTATTCGGATATTCATGAACTGTGTGCATTTTTGATGACAATATTGACATTGAAATTATCATAATCATTCGTTATCAGGTGTTATTACGGGTACGATTTATGAATCCCAACTCATTGAATACAGGTAATCCTCAATACCAAATAAGAAGAGGAGAACCAAAGAATACATTACGCCGAGAAACGGAGACAGACATGAGAAAAATGAACAAAAATTAGATAGAACTGGAAAGGAAAGCCCAGGAAAGATTGAGTTAAAGAATGCTGGTCCACGATCCATGCTCCACTGGGAGTAACAGGCGTAAGTAAGTCAGTAACTCATTGAATAATAAGTAAACTATGAGATCAGTTAATCGTGAAATAATAATTAGTGAGACAAAGCTTGGCTTAGAATGACAGTTATTTCATAAATGAAATACCATGAAACACTGATTCAAACCATATAAATGAGTTGGAACTTTTGTCTCATTTTAGAATCTTCCATAGCATTACACATTGATTATTACTCGTCAATGCACTGCTATACAAATATGCCTCTTGTTCTCAATTACCCACTGTTATGATAACAGAACTCTAATATATTTGTTATCTGCGTTTACAGATAACAGTAGTATTCTCATTATATCTGGATATACATCTCAACCTATAACAATTGTAGTTGGAATTATTAACTACTTATAATTGTAGATTACTAGACTAAAAGTAATGCGACCACTCCAATTCTTGACAGCTTAAGTAATGTCCAGTATAGATTTCATGTGTGTATAGATTATATTCAATATATTAATAGATTAATTTTTGGATGTAATACCTTTATTATTATTTTCGGAATCGTCATATTCATGATCCACCACAACACTTAGCGTTAATATTTCAGAGAGTAAAAGAGGGAGAGAGAGAGAGAGAGAAAATGTATCGAAAATTCTAGAATCTCAAAATTATTTCAGGAAAAGAACAAAGTATTTATGTTTTGTCTGTAACAAATCAATAACTGTTGGTCTATTGTTGTTTGATTGTCCGAGTTAAATTCGGTGAAACCTTTGAGCAACGCTAAAGTGACCTTGAGAATGTTCACTTACTGACTAAAGCTAAATGAGGGTTTTAAACCTTTGTGAAGGATAATGATTTTGATTTACAGTTGATGGTTAGGGATAAGGATTAGATTTAGAGTTTTCATCATGAACTCATATTAGTTAAAGTGCCAAGATTCTATTTAGCCGAATGGATGAAGGAATTCGCGCTGAAATCCAAGACCTGTTATCTTAAATCTGATTGACGGGTTCATAGATTATAGTCTCGCCTTAATGTTATTATTTAACTGGAAGTTTAATAATAAGAATAATTGCTATTTGGAAATTGACAAGTATGTGTTTAAAATGTGATGGAAATGGTGTCATTACTGTAATGCGAAATATCATATTAGTTACATCATCATGTTTATGTCTTATTTCGACAAAGAGAAGAGATATCTGAAAATTTTGATCTGGAAGAAGGTTGATGACAACATTCTATTAAGAAACTGTTAAATCTAGCTTATTGCAATATCTTATCTTAAACAAAGTACAGATGATCTTGTTGGACAGAGGTAGGAAATCTACGAGCGAACTACTAAATAGATTCTGTCATTGGATTCTAGCCGTTACGTGAGTTAATTAATAAGTGATTAAAATTAGCCACAGTAATCAGTAAGTAGCCAAGACTCGGTATTCCGACATTTCCTGAAACCATGAATATTAGGCCTTTAAAACCCTGATTTGTGTACTTTAAAAGAAATAGTTATCATATTTTTGTATCTAGGTAATACAAACGTTTTTTACTCGTTACATTATAAAATTCTGCCCAGCTCATTCTCTTAACAGATTACATCACTGTATCTCTTTTCGACTATCTTCTAGATCAACAATTTCATTTTTAACTGACTAAACCTCACTTCATTCTTGTTTACTATGGTGTTCATTAATTACGTAACCACTGATTTCTAGACCTTATGTCTTTTGTAACAATCAAAGATTTTTGAAATCTTCCATGTAAAATATATATTTACAATTTCTTGTTTAGTCACTTTACTTCATTTGGATCCTGACAAGAGTTCATAATACTTTCCAAGTAAATTCATTTATGTAAGTATTTTCAGCTTACTTTTTAACCCCACTTGTGAAATACTACAGATTGTAAGCAGCTGATTATTTTATCTCGTAATGACTTGAGTAACTTTTTAAACTTTAGAAAAATAATCTACTTCACCAAAATCTTTTCAACTATTTAATCCCCAGGTTTCAACTGGTAAAGATGTTTTATCAATTTCAGCATCATCCTAATTCGGTGTGATTTATTCAGTGGTGAAATCTTTTTTGAAAGATTTTGACAGTTTATTGTGATCTTATGACAGAACTAAACGACCTACACGTTAACAGCAATCTAACAGAACTATTAAACATTGAATATTGACGGGATTTCTTTCGCCATTGACAGTGGATACTTTATAATCTGAAAAATTGTTTAATTAAGACAAGGCTTTTAGTTTGAATCCCGCGAGCGGGATCGTGGATGCACACTGCTGAGAAGTCCCACAATAGAACGAAACGGCCGTACAATGCTTTCAGGTTTTCAATGGTGGTTTGAAATTAATCGGTTTATGATCTCATTCAAAAACTTCATATTCTCTACAAGCCCATACTGGTTATTTTATTTCAGCTTATATTCGTGCTTCATTAAGAAGTGATAGATATCGGGATTATTATATAAAATATTTTGGGATTTTATATACATACCTGACTTACGATCTGTTTTCATATAGCCTTTCAGTAAAGATGCTTATTTACTTCATATTCACAGAAATTTGTTTAAATTACTCAAGTCATGGAGAAAAATAAATACAAGAGGTTAAGCATCCACGAGCGAAAACGGTGGGTCCTAGGTTCGAGTCTCGCGAGGTGGGATGACAGATGCGCACTGCTGAGGAGTCCCATACTAGGTCGCAAAGGCCATTCAGTACTTCCCGGTTTTCCATGGTGGTCTAGCTTCAATTGACTCATGAATTCAACTATTAAAGTATACAACTTTGTTCAAAATTTAATTATATATTACGATTTAACAAATGAATATTTTCAGAAGGGGTTTTGTGGAGATTTTAGTAATTTCAATAGTTGAGATCATGAGTCAACTGAAGCCAGACCACCATGGAAAACCTGGAAGCGCTGGAAGGCCGTTTTGTCCTATTATGGGACTCCTCAGCAGTGCACATCCATGGTCCAGCCCCTCCCCCCGCGAAACGGTCATTCAATGCTTTCAGGTTTGCCATGGTGATCTAGCTTCACTTGACTCATGATTCCAACTATTGAAATGACTATTTGTTTAAAGGTAATTTTATAAAGTGTACAATTAGATTTCATTTAAGCTACATGGCAAGTGAAAAGTTCATGCAAATCTCTGAGAGTTAAATTTGAAATGAAAATGTAAAAGAAAAATCTTTCTATATAGAAGGTTACTATAATGTTTATATCTTTAATAGCGCTATATAGACTGTAAGAAGTAGTAAACACCCATCGTTTCATTTATTTGATTTCTTATAAGGGTCAGTATTAATAATAAAGTCTTATTGAGATTACGAACTGATTCAAATTAGACAACCACTGGAAACATGAAAACAGTGAACGACTATTCTGTCTGAGTATACAACTTCGCAGTATTACCCATTCACGATACCCTAATCGGGAATCGAACCCAGAAATTCCGATCACTCTAATACAGTCTAACCTTTAGATCACTGAACTGGCATCCACTAATTTTCAAGTTGATATTAATTCTCGATGGAATTATCTGTATGTTATTGCACTAATGACCTACTGAAATCTTTATGCTATCTATTATTTAACTAACCAAATACCCCCCCCCCCAAAAAAAAAAATTGTTTATATTCATCTGGACTAAGCAATAATCCATTTATTCATGTACTTTCATAAGAAAGATTGGTTCAATGAATAGTTCCCATCTTAGAGAATTCATCTTCAAAGACTATAATATAAGGTTGTGGACGAATATCGATTAGAGTTACACTACTATTTTAATCAAACCATCAAATAGTAGCTATGGAATTTTAAAAAAAAAAATCAAATTTCACTTACCATCTGATATAAACTGTAAAAGAAATACAATGATTACATTGATTTCACTAGTGATTATTATTTTTTTGTTCTTTTGCATGTTCAATTTGTCACCATGATATATATTGGATCATATAAGAGTTTCAATAACTAATGATGCCTTTGATCATTACTGTTTATGCATTCAGTAAAATAATAATGATAATAATCAATGTTTACTAATTAATTAGCAATTTGACACAGTTTTGTTTGTTTGTGTGTGTGTGTGTGGGGGTCTGTGTCGACAGAAGTCCTCTCGTTTAAATAATCATGCAACTTATATCAGACTGGTTAAAGCACTATAAACACATACATTTATATAACTGTATATTCATTGGTATGCAAGAGTAAACTACATGTAAGCTTATTTGTTATCCAATGAATGAATACACAATTTGTTTGTTTGTTTGTTTGTTTGTTTGTTTGTAATTGACAATATAACATTTCGATGAATTCATTAGTTAATGGTATATGGATAGTGAAATGTTCATGAAAAAAATGATGCATCATTTGTCAAGTGTCTAAGTCATAAATAATTCATTTCCATAGTTTGAAACAAGGATTAATGTTTCACTGATTGAAATCATGAGTCAGTTGAAGCTAGACCACCATGAAAAACGTGAAAGCACTGGATGGCCGTTTCGTCCTAGTATGGGACTCCTCAGTAGTGCGCATTCACGATCCCGCACTAAATCACTGTTGAAAATTATTTAGCATAGGACAGTTGTCTTGCTCTAGTATACGGTTCCTCTACAGTTAGTATGAGTGATTTCCCATCTCTCTCTCCACCCAATAAGTATTAAACCTAGAAACTTCCGTCTCATAGATAGCTAGTTGACAGTCAATGAAAATATATATGATTATGAATTCAATAGTGGATTTAATCAAAATATTATTTCGTTTGTTTTCTGATATGAGACTCCGAAAATCACGCTCTATATGACTAGTATTATGAAATGCAGAAGATTTAAACACTTTCTGTTATCTACATTAGTTATGATGGATATTTAACAAATGCTTAACTAAGCAAAAATATTAGTCGAAAAGGAGACCTGAAATAGTAACAACTTGTAAGAAATCACTGTTGTTATAAATAGAATTCGTAGATGGTGTTGTTAATGAGAATGTGATAGAGAAGATAGAAGGGGCTGTAAATAGAACAAAAAATTCATTCAAACTATTAAATGACATCTATAAGTAGAATCACTTTCATTAATTTCACAATCGATAAAATCAAAATATTAACCAACACATTTTATTCAATAGACTAATGAGATTTACAGTGTTCATTCATCCCAGCCTAAAGTTCCTGATGGCTCTATGTCAGATTTCTGGTAGTGTTGTATGTTCGCATGTTTTGGGAGTCCCATAATAGGACCGAACAAGCATATTTGGTTTTTATCGATACCTTAACTGAGACAAATCATTGATGAATATCTTCATACGGCTAAATGTGAATGGATATGCTTCGGAGATACATCACTCAACTTAGATCTTACCATAAATGGTGAAGTGTTATCTAGGTTACATACAGTAGTAGACTTAGGACTTAGATACTCCCAAGACTTGTCGTTTACAGAACAGATATTGAAACAGACCTCTAAGTCTCAACGTCTTGTCGGTTACATAACTCGAAAGCTTCATAACAATGAGTTACGTATTTTAATGTACAAAGTTTGTGTTCGACCACTTGTAGAATATTGCACATTTATTCTTAGCAGTGCGCGCACAAAGGATAAATTAAGGCTGGAATCAGCACAGAGATGATTTACACTTCGTATTCTTGCAGCTGATTGTACCTTAACTTATAATTCTAGATGTAATAAACTTGGGCTAGACCCTTTATGCAAGAGGAAACTTAAACTAAATCTTATCTTTTTCTTCAAACTACTTAATAAACTATCCTTTACATTCAATCACGTGATTCAATATGCAGAAACTTCTCATTGTGACATCCGTAATTCCTTGACACTAGTGAAAAAAACTTATTCTAAATCATCTCTTTATATGAATTACTTCACCTGTAAATTTTCTAGACTCTGGAATAACCTACAACAGTCTATCCGTACGATAAAATCACTGCCATTATTTGTTCGTTGCATCGATGCATACTGCTCCTCTGAAAATGCATTGAATGGTCTAGCGCCTTTAAGTGTATCTCATTCCACAAGTAATATTATAGGAACTTTAAATATTTAGCCATCTTTATTAGTGAATTCCCTTAGTAAAACCACCCACTTGCTGTCAATATGTTAACACCGCCCCTAGAAACTTTAACTAATTTGAATAACATCAACAGTATATCACTGTGTCACATGACACACGCATTTAGGTAGACCTGATTCATATATTTTGGTAATTACTTTTTTGTTGTTCCGTGCTCTCTGTTTTCATTTAACTTTCTCTAGTTGTAGATAATTATCATTAATTCGATCTGGCACGCAAACTGACCTTAATTACACCGTTCATAAATCAACAGGCTGTCCATTTAAGAAAAATTAAAAGTTCCCGGCTGATGCATTGGATCGCTGTAATACATGTACTACTTAAACAACTACTGAACTAGTATACTTAAAACTTTCTTTTATCACATGTTTGTTCTGTACATCTAATGTTCCTCTTTATATCAAATTGATCGTGCCTGTAAACTGGCGTGAGTTCTGTAATTATTATTTTTCAGAATATATAAATTATTATTATGATTATTATTATTATAACGTAAAATAGTCGTTACAAAACCGCTTGATCTATATTATGTTATGTCATCTCTTTAATGACATATCTCAGTACATCTGCTAGACAATACTTATCAACATTTTAATAATTATCTTTATCTCTGTATTAAAATCGATTATTTTTGTTAGTCTAATGTACCACTTTGAAGATAGTTTACATAATGAAATGACTTCTGTTAGACAACCATTGAAATCAGAGAGTACTGTATAGTTGTTTCATCATAATGTGATACTATTCAGGCATATTCAGTCATGATTCAACCATCGATCGAATAGAAGATATTGATGCCTCACTGTGGGTGGATTAATTTTAAACCACTGAATTGAAATCTGATGAGATTGTGGATTTCACTAACTTAACAACTGATGAAGTCTAAATATTTACCAAAATGTTTTATATAATAAAGTAAAGCTTTTCAAAATGATGTCTCATAAAATGACGAAGTACGAAATATTGTTTATTTATTCCTATATACCCATTTTACATGACTCATTAGACATATGTGCTAACGTTGTCCGACCTCAAGTCAGACGCATAACGTTTTAACTACTGATTCGTCATCTAAAATCCACTTATCAATTCATGCTAATGTACAGTCACTCAGTGACGAATACTTTATCTTATAATTAAACTGATCCCCAAAAATTGCCTTAATTAGTTTTAGTTATGTGATCCAAAATTGTTTCACAAAACAGTTTGTAATTTTTCGTGTTCTTGATCTGAGTTGCGTTGAAGTCATGTAGAATAGACACTGGGGGTGTGTGTGTGTGCGGAAATCTAGTGTAGATATTCGTCTAATGTAACTTGACGTCCCATTCGTGTAGACGAAGATTTCTGAGAGTTATAACAAATTCTATTCAGATATAAGTGTATGTATACAGATTACTATTTCCTTATTATTCTAGACTTCCCATTAACTTACATGGATATTAATAAATACAACTGAAATCCGCGTAATAATACAGTCATTCGTATGCAATAGAAAGTAGTACAAGATTATTTGATTGATCTTTCTTTTTGATTTCATAATGCTTCTGTAGATGTATCGTACGAAATACTGATCATCTAACTGTACATTAAGTCAGTCTCATTAACATTAGCTTCTGTTATAATTATGGTATAAGTGATAACTTAATATTAAATAACATATTCATTCAACTAAAATTTTTACTCTTGATTACTGATAAAAAGACCCTGTTATTAATCTCCTGTTTAATCTGTATATAATAACTAAGCCCTCATAGTTTTATTTACTTCTTTAATAAAGGAAAGTTAGCATAAGCAAATCCTACTAAAATATCACTCAGAAGAAGACTTTGTGGAGATTTTAGTCATTTCAGTAGTTGAATTCATGAGTCAATTGAAGCTAGACCATCATGGAAAACCTGGAATCACTGAACGGCTGTTTCGTTCTAGTATGGGACTCTTCGACAGTGTGCGTTCACGATCCCGCCTCGTGAGATTCCAACCCAGGACCTCCCCGTCTCGCGCGCGAACGCTTAACATCTAGACTTTAGAGTTGACATCCAATGGTGTTAATGTCTAACTTCAACCAATTTACGAAATCGCACCACTGTCCATCATTGTCTTTAGTGAGTTACTATATCACAACAGACCCGATTGAACTCCACCAGCCACTGCTTCTCATTAGAACTCCAGGGAATACCTCTTGAAGCTAGTCATCAGTGTTCACATGATGAATAATATCAGAATGGGTTTGGTGTAATGGTTGAATCTCTCAGGGCGAGATCGTTGATTTGCACCTCCAAGGAGTTCCATACTAGGACGAAAAGGTCGTCCAATGCTTCCAGGTTTCCCATGGTAGTCTATCTTTAATTGACTCATGAATTCAATTAATAAATTAAACAAAATTAATTTTATAAATCTGGCAATCTACATCTTACCTGAACTAATTTTGATATAAAATTTTGTAATACAATTTAAAAACCTATTTGTTGTAGTGTTATACAAGCCCATAAAGCTTATTCTAACATTTGGACAAGTTAATTTATTCATTCTTTTTAGTCACTTGACAACCAATAACTATCCACTAGTTTTAATTATGAAAATTATTTATACATTCAAAAAATTTTATCTATAAATAATCATCTGTTTCAGTTGACATAGTGAAAATGTATGTCAAAAACGACAGTTGAAGTCATGAGTCAACTGAAACTAGACCATCGTGGAAAACCTCGAAGTACTGGACGGCCATTTCATTCTAGTATGGGACTACTCAGCAATGCGCATCCACGATCCCTTCCGCCGCTCGCACGCGAGACTGATAAGTCATGGGTTCGAATCTCGTAAGGGGCGAGATCGTGGATGCGCACTGATGAGGAGTCACATACTAGAATGAAACGGCCGTTCAGTGCTTCCAAGTTCTCCATGGTGGTCTAGCTTCAACTGACTCATGAATTCAACTAGTAAAATTACTAAAATCTCCACAAAACCCCTTCTAAGAAAATATAATCAATTTTAGACATGATTGAAACATTTCGAGCTACATTGATATCTGGAGGGGATATATTGATGAAATGTTAATTT